GTAGTAGTTGACGACCAGAAAAGCACAAGGCCCCCGCTGAGACCCTCGCTGCCCACGGCAAAGCAGCCCGTAAACCCTAGAGACCACATAAAATTCCTCACACGAGAGTCCCTCATCTTCGTCTCCGAAAGAAAGAGGAGGGAGGGGCGGTAAAGCTTCACAAGCCAGGGAAGCTCGCCAACTGTCGAGTCCGACCCCAAGCCTCGACAGTTCCAACAAATAATACTCATTGCGTCTGGCGGGGCTGCCCTGCAGCCTCCACTGGATCCGCCGATCGAGATATTGAGACACGTTGTTTCTTGTTAGATTCCACATCGGTGACCTGAACTTCGGAAGTACAAGCCGCGTTGGACACCGGAGCCACTACCAGGGCCAACACATTAGCATCCGCCTGCTTCGGCTCAGATGTCGAGGACAAAGGAAGTGCTTTGGCAGATTTCCTCTTCTGACCTGTAGTTGTCATTTTCTCATTTGATTTCGGAAATAGCTCCTTATCAACAGAACCTCTTCCCCTCCCGCGACCACAGGAGGAAGGACCACGGCCACGGCCCCTGGACCCTCGCTTAGGAGGGGAGGAAACCTCACCATCCACTTCTGCAACGTTAGCTTGGCCTTTAGGATTGGCATGGCTCGATGAAGACAACCTTGCACCACCTGCCCTGCCATCACCCCCAGCTGACGTTGATGAACTACTAGATCGTGATCCACCCGATTTCCTGGAGGTGACATCGGCCACACACAGTTTCTTAGCAGCATAAGGGAGCTCCCCATTGTCATCTCTGATGCCAGGACTTGGACATAAGATTGAAGAGTGCCCCAGGCGCCCACATGAGAAGCAGTAAAAAGGAAGACGCTCGTACATCACTGAGTAGGTATCTGTGGATTTGAGCCTGGCCGAGGTCACAGTCACATACCGAACAATCGGTTCTTGTACCGCAATCTCCACTCTGACCCTCATATAGCCTCCCCAGCACCGGCCATCAGAATCAGCCTCCACTTTGGAGACATGGCCAATTGTCTTGGCAAACTCCATTCCCAGCTTTGATTTCATCAACCTTGGCGGCAAATTCATGATCCGAGCCCAGATGGCAAGGCTGTCAAACTAAACCTGAAGGGGTGGGGTGTTCTGATCAAACACTTTGAGAAGAACAACATGTTTGCCCACCATCCACGGCGAGCCCTCGATCACCCGAGCTCTATCTGCTTGGGTGCCAAATTCAGCAACAAAAACATTGTCCCCGGAAGGGTGGAACAGCAAACCTTTCGGGTTGCCCCACGCCGGCCTCATCGCCGACGAGATCGTCTGAATATGGAGAGTGTTGGGGGAAAGCACCTTCCCTACCAGCGCGCAATCTGGGTGCACCAAATCGGCGTCATCCTCGTCATCCAGAACCACCAGGAGCGCCTCCACCGCAGTGAGACGCAGACGCTCCATCATAGTTTCCACGCAATCCACAGAGCATGAACCCCCCGTCGATGGTGATGGAACAGCAACCGCCGCCGCCTTCCCATCGCTCGGCAGCGCCCGGACATGGGAGTTGCAGCCTCCGCCCGGCGCAGAGAAATCAGCCCCAAGGGCATCATGCTCCAGCCCCGCACTTACCCCCTCCATGCGAGCGCCGGCAGCCCCCAATCGCGCCGCTGCCAAGGGTGGGTAGCGTTGCCAGGAACGCCCCTGAGTCACCCCGAACAGCGGCGAGAAGGAGAAGACCACGAGTGCCCCAATGAGGCGGGGGATTAGCAGGATTGAGGGTGGAAAGGATTGGATCGGCAATCAGAATCGCGGATCCAGACTACGATCAACCCTAGGAAGCCGCCAATCGCCCTAGCGATGCGATAGCCTGGGGAACATGGCCGTGTCCATAAGCAACTGACGCTATTACTCTTACGAGATAGATTTTGCTGCGGTTTGATAGTAATCCAGTAGTAATGCAATTACTACCTAGCAAGCATATAATAGCTTGTAGTAGTAGTTTAGTTAGGTAGTAAAAATAGAGAAGTTGGTAGTAAAGCAATTACTATGTACTCTAGTTTTCTTTACATAAATTACTATGTAGCTAGCACTTAATACAAATTGGCTCGTTCCAAGTCGTAACACAATTACCATCTAGTAGTACTTTTGGCAAGAGTTTTATAGTAGTAACACAATTACCAGTTTTGCACCAACGCTGCTACACACACGACAAATCTGAACGATTTTCAAACGACAGAGTACATCAAGCCGTCCATGCATAGACCAAACACTGGATAGCACCGTTAATTCCTCTGTCGTCCAAAGTTCGTGCGATGAACTGTCGTCCGCATAGTAGTTTTGGTTTTGCACGTACTATTACTAGTAGGCCAGTAGTAACACGGTTACTATTTTACATGTAGTTTTACTAGTAGACTGGTGGTGTCGAAGAGCAGTGCGTGCAGGGTTAACCTTTTAATCTCGTTACGATCTTTTGCCTTGGGTTTTACTAATAGTGGGCATGGTAGGAGGCTAGTACTGAGCAGTAACCATTTTATTTTTGTTATCCTTTCTGTCATGTTGTTTTACGACTAGACGGAGGTGTGATGTGCGGTAGTCGGTGACGAGTGGCTTGCGAGCGGGCGGAGCGGGTGGGCGGTGACAAGTTATTCTTCACCCGAGGTAATCTTACGATCATTTCATAATTAAATTATGTTTAAAATTCAAATAGTTACATTCCTATTGATTCACTACGTAAAATTTGATATAAGAAAATAAAAATATAGGTCATAAGACAAGAAAGTTTATAGTTTATGTGTATTTTAGACTATGTTTTTATGTTTGTAATTTTACATAATATAAAATATTTTTTACGGCGATTATATATTTTCTTACGGTCTCTTTTTACGTCGGAAATAAGACAAAACTTACGGAACGTAAAATTATGATGCATTGATGATAAAATAGAGGGGGGTTGAAGAATAACTATTCCTCACCCAGGGTGACGAATAGCGCGACCCTAGGTAAAAATATATATTTCATAAATAAATTACATTTGAAATACAAATAGTTACATTCATATTGATTCACTGCAAAAAAATTGGCATAAAAAAAATATGGGTCATAACACCAGAAAAATTGCATTTTATGTACATTTTACACTATGTTTTTTACATTTGTAATTTTACATAACATAAAATATTTTTTACGGTGATTATATATATTTTTACGTTCTCTTTTTACATCTGAAATAAGAAAAAAAATACGGAATGTAAAATTACGATGCATTGATGTAAAAATAGAGTGGGTGAAGAATAATTATTCCTCACCCAGGGTAAATGACATTGGCACTGGGCATATGATAAACTATAGCCATATTTGCACCGAGCATCGTCTTTTACTCCCTCTGATGCATAACAACTGTTGCAGTTTTGAAGTAATTTCAACTAACTTTAGTTCAAAACTATGCCTTCTTTGGGGATCAGAGGAAGTACAAAATTTAGGACGCCAATAAATGTTACACATGTGGGCGTTAGGAAGTCTGCCCACACATTTTGTGTGGTGTATAAGAAGAATAGCCCACATACCTACGTATGGGCAAAACAAATAATGCACACACACTTTTTTCCCACCCGATCCTTCTCACACGCCCACACGCCCCGTACGTCAGACCTCGTACCTCGTGGTCCCACACACCCCACGTAACAGTCACCGTGCGTCCCGCAGTTGCCATGGTCCAGACCCTCGTTCATGTTCGTTTAACTGTAGTTGCCATGTCGCTGAACTTCGGTTGCCATGTCGGACAACTACAGTTGCCATGGTTGCTCAACTGCAGTTGCCATGTATGGTCTGGTCTACTGCAGTTGCCATGTATGGTCTGGTCTACTGCAGTTGCCATGATTTCAAAATTTTAGGAGTTGCCACCCACTAACACTAGGCAGTTGCCGTGTAGCACTAAAAAAGCATGGCAAAAAAGCATGTTCGGGTAAAAGAGAGAGTTGCCGTGTGCTCGCAAGCACGCTAGGGCAGTTGCCATGTAAAGACAAAGAGTTGCCATCTGCTTACGTGCATGCTAGGGTAGTTGTCATGTACCATGCAAAAACACATGACAACTCAATTAAAAGAGAGTTGCCATCTGCTTACAAGCAAAGCTAGGGCAGTTGCCATGTACCCTACAGAAACACATGGTAACTGCCAGCTTTGGGTGTGGGCGAGGAGACGGCCGTGTGGGCGAAGTGATAAACGCCCACACACCAGCCCTCTCTGCGTGTGTGAAAACTGGTGTGTGGGGCGAATTGCTAAACCCCACACACCAACCCTCGTGTGATGAAAAAGGACGTGTGGGCGACCGGATGAATGCCCACACATCAGGTTAGTCCTACGTGGACACAAAAACTGCTAGAACGTGACAAGATTCGTGCAGAATTGGTTGGACGAGAATCCATACATGTGGACGAGTTGCCAGACGTCCATATGTGTGGGCGTTAGTGTTTTCGCAAAATTTAAATAGTCCATGTATGTTTGAACAGGCTGACGTAGCTGGAGCCAGCATCTTGGCACGCTCGGCAGACTCCTATGAGTCGCTACGCCATGACCCAGCCATCTGATTAAGCACTATACTAGTACAGCCACGAGAAATGCCCGTGTCCGTGTGTATTGGCTGATGCGGTAGCTAGCCGCGTGCTGACGATCCAGCTGCAGCTAGAGTCAGTCAGAGCGCGCGCGCATGGTACAGGAGCAGCACAGCCCACCGATCTGCAGCAGTTCTCTTCCTTCATGCGAGCAATTCCAAAAAATCAACACATCCCGAGCCTGTGTCGTCCCCATCACTCTGATCGCCACTCAGAGACAGCAGTTCCAAAAATGAACACATGCGAGCATGTGTTCTTGGTCTCTAGCACATAAAAAACACTACACATGGTTCCCTGCCATCTCATCTCAGAAGAAGAAATTATTGGGCCAGATTGGTTTTTCTGCTAGATACCGGCCTATATAGGTGGTGCCAAGGGAAGCCTTTGACGCTGCAACATAGCCTCTGTCATTACTCCATATGGCTGCAAGAGCAGTGGCGGCGGCTGTCCTCCCGCTTCTCCTTCTTGTTGTCGCCACCAGCGCCTACGGCGGCGCCCATGGTCGGCGGCCGATAAGCCGGAGGAGCTTCCCCAAGGGCTTCCTCTTTGGGACGGCCACCTCGTCCTATCAGGTTTCCGCTCGCTGTTCCTTCGTTGATCCATGGGTAGAGTAGGTCGTTGGTTTCATTTGTTAGTTCAGCACAATTTGTTAGCATGAAAGCTGTAGCATAACCTGATGCTGCGTGGCCGGACTCTTAGGAATACAATCAAAAGTTAAAACAGGGTATGTTCTTGGAAATGCATGGACGGAGCAGGAAAAAATGGTCTGGAATTATGGATGATAGTAACAAGTTGGAGAAAACTAACTGTACTCAAGTTCAGCATATATGAGTTGAGTTAGAAAGATTGTTTTGCCGTGGTGATTACCTCCGGCCTCTTCTCTATTTATATTCACGTACATGGTACAGGATAGATACAGGTAGTTAGGATTACAACGTGTGCTGGGATTAGATAAGAATGACCCGCACAACAAACTTAATCTAATCCTAACTATACAACTTGACGTACACGTTTAACAAGTTGATCCTTGATCTGGACCCAGCAGTGATTGGCCAATTGTCTCTCTACATTATGAAATCTTCGGTTCTGGATCTGGTCTCCTCTTAGAATTATTTAACGATATCTACATTATTGGACATTCACATGCATGCAGTATGAGGGTGGGGCAATGGAGGGGGGCAGGGGACCAAGCATCTGGGACAACTTCACTCACCAGCACCCAGGCATGTATATACATCTTCTACACGCAGCGTCTATATCTTTTTATAGAAAAATGTTCAGCACTCAGGAACATTATCAAAGGCCTTTTTAGGGAGTGAGAGCAACAGAAATTAGATTTTTATTTATTTCACAGCATGAAATTTTCATAAAGTCTTACCAAATTTCCATGTCCAAATTTTTAGTTTTGTTGACAACCAGGCCATTCTATTGACCAATGGTGTGATAACCAGGAAAGTAATTTTCATTTCAAACTGAAGTTCAGAGTAGCCTTTTTCTCATAAAGGTTAAAAACTTTGGCAGATAAAATCGCCGATAGAAGCAATGGGGATGTGGCAGTGGACTCCTACCATCTTTATAAGGTAGGGATAGTTTATATGTCCTGCTTTTTAATTAGATCTTTAAGATTTGTCATAAATCATGTGCTCAAAGTTGTTGATTAAGATCATACTGTGACAAGATCTTTGAATATCAGTTCCAATCCAACAAGAAGAAACTAGGTAGTACTGATCCTAATTTGCCAAAACGCAGGAAGATGTGCGCCTCATGAAGGATATGGGAATGGACGCATACAGGTTCTCCATCTCATGGACAAGAATTCTTCCAGGTATGATATTTTCAGACTCAATACTTACCACTCTCATTTTTGTTCTCAACTAGAATATTCTGCACTATCTTGCCATTTCCTAATTTATATAATTTATATATTATGTTCACATTGATCATATAATGTCTTAATGCATGACAGATGGAACTCTGAAAGGTGGAGTCAACCGAGAAGGCATCAAGTATTACAATAACTTGATCGATGAGCTGCTGTCCAAAGGTAGGCCGTCTAACTGTCAGTATTTAATTAGGTTATCCAATTTATCAAACTGCATGGGGCATCAGGTCCTTTATTTCATCATACAATTTTTAAGATTTTAAATCTTTATATACCTGCAGGGGTGCAACCATTTGTGACCCTTTTCCACTGGGACTCTCCACAGGGATTGGAAGACAAATATGGAGGATTTCTTAGCCCTAATATCATGTAAGTCAACCACTATTTATCTTCTAAAAATCTGTATACATTAACTTGCAAAATAACCAACTGACACTGGTGCAGAAATGACTACAAAGATTATGCTGAAGTCTGCTTCAGAGAATTCGGAGATCGGGTGAAGCACTGGATCACGTTCAACGAGCCCTGGTCCTTCTGTGTCACAGGTTATGAAAGGGGCGTATTTGCACCGGGCCGGTGTTCGCCCTGGGAGAAGGCAAACTGCAGTGCCGGAGATTCAGGAAGGGAGCCGTACACTGCAGCCCACCATCAGATACTCGCTCATGCAGCAGCCGCTAGATTGTATAAACAGAAATATAAGGTGACTGACCCAGCCCTTCATCATATATATCATGCAGTTGCGGTTCATCCATGAACGTGTTGATTGATATGATGCACATCTATGAAATGCAGGCCGTGCAGAAGGGGAAGATCGGAATAAGTTTGGTGTCAAACTGGTTCACTCCCTTGTCTCGTTCAAAATCAAGTGTCATCGCGACGAGACGCGCCATAGAATTCATGCTTGGATGGTAAACTCTCTACGTGTGATTCCTGTGTAATTTCATTTAGAAGTTTAGAAAAGAATGCAGATTGACCTCACCAAGAATAAAACCCCTGTAGGTTTTTGGACCCGCTCGCCAGAGGAGACTACCCTGGGAGCATGAAAGAATTGGTCGGAAACCGTCTGCCGCGGTTCACCAAAAAACAGTCTAAATTGGTGAAGGGTTCATTCGACTTCATTGGAATCAACTACTATACTACAAACTACGCGGATAGCCTTCCTCTATCAAATGGCCTGAGGAACAGCTACTCTACAGATGCTCAAGCTAATCTGACCGGTGAGTTGATCTTTCTTTTCTTTTCTTGAAAGAAAGACAGGTGAGTTGATCACTCTCAGTCAATGATCAATCTGTCTCTGTTCTTGTTTGCCAGCCTAACAATGTTAAGCAAATGACCCCGTTTTAGCAAAACATGCTAACATTGCCCAATTATATCAGGTGTCCGAAATGGTGTCCCCATAGGTCCTCAGGTAACTTGCAACTTACCCACATATAAACAAGCAAATCTTCCGTCAGTTTTCTCCCCACTTTCTTTGTCTGGTGGTTCAGTTGACCGAGTAAGTGACATGCATTTAGGCTGCTTCACCTTGGCTCTACGTCTACCCTAAAGGGTTCCATGATCTTCTACTTTATCTCAAGGAGAAGTACCGCAATCCGCTCGTCTACATCACTGAAAATGGCAAGTACATTTTCCTCCCCTGGAAAATGGTGAGGAACCAGGTTGAAACTTATCTGAAAAATTATGTGTCTTCTCTCTATATTTTAGGCGTTGATGAAGCCAACAACAAGAGCCTACCACTCGAGGAAGCTCTCAAGGACGATGCCAGGATAGAGTACCACCACATGCACCTTGATGCCCTGCTGAGTGCGATCAGGTCAGAGCTAGCACCTTGACTTTTACAATCCAACTATGTCAAGACATCAACTGAGAGTTCATTGTGCTGATTTTACTACAGGGATGGGGCGAACGTGAAGGGGTACTTCGCGTGGTCGCTGTTAGACAATTTTGAGTGGGCGAGCGGGTACACGGTGCGCTTCGGGTTACACTTTGTGGACTACAACCATGGTCGGAAGCGGTACCCCAAGCGCTCCGCCGGATGGTTCAAAAGGTTCCTCAAGAGATGATTTCACAAATAAACTAGAAACCAGCAAGAAATTATGGATGCATTGTATTTGGGGTTCACTTCAGCACCCCTTTTAATTGAATCATTGGTGGAGATTAAAACATACTCCTTCGTATGGTGAGAGGCCCATTTGGAATAAAGGAATTTTGTTGGAATTTCATAGGAATGAAATCATATAGGAAATGTTTCCTATGGGCCCATTGGATTGTAGTATTGACTTTGAAAATTTCTATGGGAGTTCTTCCTCCCCTTCACATTTTGGAGGATTCTTAACATTTTTTCAAACCTCATGTGCTCACTTCCATTGAGAAGTCCATGGGAGCCGTTCTCTTCTTGAAGGCACCGTCGCGGTAGCCCTTTGTCTTTCGTGGTGCTCCGGATGTAGACCCCGATCCTTTGGATTGAACGGTGGCGGCGCTTTGGTGTTGTGCCCTTCGTCTCTTCGCGGTGGCACAGCCAAGTTTGAGAGCTCTGTCGACTCTTAATGATGCTCTATTTGTCCAATTGTTGTTTGCTCTGAGTTGTCTGGGATGGTGTTTTTGTTCGTCGACTCCTTTGTATCTTGTCTTGGTTGTGTGTTTGTGGTGGCGTGTTGTATACGAGTGTCAGTATGTTGATCGTAGCTTTATATAAACCGGGCCACAAGTTCGGTAGAAGGGAAAGAAGCCCACTGGTCGATTAACACGGCACACCCCTGTCACCAAGAAAAAACTGCCACGAGAAGAATAAACTGTTTTGCTAAATAGAAGTCGCATGAGATTATTTTTTACCAAGATTATTCAATGTGGGACCAGGCACTATGCCGTTCTTCGTTAGTTCAGCATACCAGGCACTATGCCGTTCTCCATTAGTTCAGCATACCAGGCACTATGCCGCACAGGGCGAAAGCCTAGTTCGGAAGAGTTCTTTGTTAGTTCAGCAGAGCTGCAAACGAGTCGAGTTTGAACGAGTTGGACTTGGCTCAGCTTAACTCATATTAAAATTGGAGCGAGCTCATACTGAGTGAAGCTCAAGGTTGAGTTATAGAATATGACTCATGCCCAACTTGTAACAATCTCGAGCTAGTTTCTAGCTAAATGAAACGATAAAAATTGTAAAATCTACAATTATTATTCTAAATAGATAAGGCACAACATGACATAAAAAGGCACTACAAAATATTATTCCAATCAAAATATTATTCAGATATCCTTCATTTATTTATAAACTATAGTACCAACTAGATGACGTGAAAGTGAAAAAAAGGCTAACTCCAACTGAAGGTACGTCCGTCTCATCATGCTCGGGAGAGCTCATCTTCGTTGATGAAAGAAAAGAAAAATGAAGGTGCATATGCTTGAGAACTTTTGCCAAAAATAACAGGATGTTTAACATACGGCCGACCACGTACAATAATAAGGTCTAAATTTTCTCTAGACTTAATTAAGCTTCCATGTTGCTAGTAAATAGATAAAATGGAAAGAAAAAAAAAATTCTAGATGACCTATATGGTAATAAATTATCCTATTTCCTTTTAATATATGACATGATCATTTAACATAATGATATTATACCGAGCTATCAAGCTAAAATCGAGCAAGTCAGTATTGGCTCAAGATCGGCTCGTTTCTCGACCGATCTACAGAAAGTGTTCGTACTCAGCTCGTTTTTTTAAGTCGATCTCGAGTCGAGTCAAAAAAACGAGTCGATCTCGAGCGGCTCACGAGCCTTGAGCTTTTCTTGCCGCCCTATATACGAGGCATTATGTCGTTTGCCGACCATATAGTGGCTATATCCACTCTGCAAGGCGCCCGTTGAAGGAAATATGCCCTATAGGCAATAATAAAGTTATTATTTATTTCCTTATATCATGATAAATGTTTATTATTCATGCTAGAATTGTATTAACCGGAAACATAATACATGTGTGAATACATAGACAAACAGAGTGTCACTAGTATGCCTCTACTTGACTAGCTCGTTGATCAAAGATGGTTTTATTTCCTAACCATAGACATGAGTTGTCATTTGATTAACGGGATCACATCATTAGGAGAATGATGTGATTGACTTCATCCATTCCGTTAGCTTAGCACTCGATCGTTTAGTTTGTTGCTATTGCTTTCTTCATGACTTATACATGTTCCTATGACTATGAGATTATGCAACTCCCGTTTACCGGAGGAACACTTTGTGTGCTATCAAATGTCACAACGTAACTTGGTGATTATAAAAGTGCTCTACAGGTGTCTCTGAAGGTACTTGTTGGGTTGACGTATTTCGAGATTAGGATTTGTCACTCCGATTGTCGGAGAGGTATCTCTGGGCCCTCTCGGTAATGCACATGACCTAAGCCTTGTAAGCATTGCAACTAATGAGTTAGTTGCGAGATGATGTATTACGAAATGAGTAAAGAGACTTGCCGGTAACGAGATTGAACTAGGTATTGAGATGCCGACGATCGAATCTCGGGCAAGTAACATACCGATGACAAAGGGAACAACGTACGGTCTGACCGATAAAGATCTTCGTAGAATATGTAGGAGTCAATATGAGCATTCAGGTTCCGCTATTGGTTATTGACCGGAAACGTGTCTCGGTCATGTCTACATAGTTCTCGAACCCGTAGGGTCCGCACGCTTAACGCTAAGATAACAGTTATATTATGAGTTTATGTGTTTTGATGTACCGAAGGAGTTCGGAGTCCCGGATGAGATCGGGGACATGACGAGGAGTCTTGAAATGGTTGAGACGTAAAGATCGATATATTGGACGACTATATTCGGACTTCGGAAAGGTTCCGAGTGATTCGGGTATTTTTCGAAGTACCGGAGAGTTACGGGAATTCACCGGGGAGTATATGGGCCTTATTGGGCCATACGGGAATAGAGGAGAGAGGCCAAAAGGAAGGAGGTCTGCGCCCCCCTCTGCTCCGAATTGGACAAGGGGTGCAGCCCCCTTTTCCTTCTCCCTCTCCTCCTCTTTCCTTCTCTCCTACTCCAACAAGGAAAGGAGGAGTCCTACTCCCGGTAGGAGTAGGACTCCCCCCTTGGCGCGCCCTCCTCCTAGGCCGGCCGCCTCCCCCCTTGCTTTTTTATATACATGGGCAGGGGGGCACCTCTAGACACACAAGTTAATCATCTCTTAGCCGTGTGCGGTGCCCCCTCCACCATAGTCCACCTCGATAATACTGTAGCGGTGCTTAGGTGAAGCCCTGCGTCGGTAGAACATCAACATCGTCACCACGCCGTCGTGCTGACGAAACTCTCCCTCAACACTCGGCTGGATCGTGAAGGAAATATGCCCTAGAGGCAATAATAAAGTTATTATTTTATTTCCTTATATCATGATAAATGTTTATTATTCATGCTAGAATTGTATTATCCCGAAACATAATACTTGTGTGAATACATAGACAAACTAAACGTCACTAGTGTGCCTCTACTTGACTAGCTCGTTAATCAAAGATGGTTACGTTTCCTAACCATAGACATGTGTTGTCATTTGATTAACGGGATCACATCATTAGGAGAATGATGTGATTGACATGACCCATTCCATTAGCTTAGCACCCGATCGTTTAGTATGTTGCTATTGCTTTCTTCATGACTTATACATGTTCCTATGACTATGAGATTATGCAACTCCCGTTTACCGGAGGAATACTTTATGTGCTACCAAACGTCACAACATAACTGGGTGATTATAAAGGTGCTCTACAGGTGTCTCCAAAGGTACATGTTGGGTTGACGTATTTCGAGATTAGGATTTGTTGCTCCGATTGTCAGAGAGGTATCTCAGGGCCCTCTCGGTAATGCACATCACATAAGCCTTGCAAGCATTGCAACTAATGAGTTAGTTGCGAGATGATGTATTACGAAACGAGTAAAGAGACTTGCCGGTAACGAGATTGAACTAGGTATTGAGATACCGACGATTGAATCTCGGGCAAGTAACATACCGATGACAAAGGGAACAAAGTATGTTATTATGCGGTCTGACCGATAAAAGATCTTCTTAGAATATATGGGAGCCAATATGAGCATCCAGGTTCCGCTATTGGTTATTGACCGGAGACATGTCTCGGTCATGTCTACATTGTTCTCGAACCCGTAGGGTCTGCACGCTTAACGTTACGATGACAGTTTCATTATGAGTTTATATATTTTGATGTATCGAAGTTTGTTCAGAGTCCCGGATGTGATCACGGACATGACGAGGAGTCTCGAAATGGTCGAGACATAAAGATTGATATATTGTAAGCCTATGTTTGGACATCGGAAGTGTTCCGGGTGAAATCGGCATTTTACCGGAGTACCGGGAGGTTACCAGAACCCCCCCGGTAACCTAATGGGCCTTAATGGGCCTAGTGGAGGAAGAGGAGAGGAGGCCTAGGGGCTGCCGCGCGCCCCTCCCCCCCAAGTCCGAATTGGACAAGGAGGGGGGCAGCGCCCCCCCTTTCCTTTCTTCCCTCTCCTCCTCCCCCCCCAAATCCTAATCCAACTAGGGAAAGGGGGGGAGTCCTACTCCCGGTAGGAGTAGGACTCCTCCGGCGCGCCTCCTCCTAGGGCCGGCCGCACCCCCTTTGCTCCTTTATATACGGGGGTAGGGGGCATCTCTAGACACACAATTTGATCCTCGTGATCGTTTTCTTAGCCGTGTGCGGTGCCCCCTTCCACCATACTCCTTGATAATATTGTAGCGGTGCTTAGGCGAAGCCCTGCGACGGTAGAACATCAAGATCGTCACCACGCCGTCGTGCTGACGGAACTCTTCCCCGACACTTTGCTGGATCGGAGTCCGGGGATCGTCATCGAGTTGAACGTGTGCTAAAACTCGGAGGTGCCGTAGTTTCGGTGCTTGATCGGTCAGGCCGTGAAGACGTACGACTACATCAACCGCGTTGTCATAACGCTTCCACTATCGGTCTACGAGGGTACGTAGACAACACTCTCCCCTCTCATTGCTATGCATCACCATGATCTTGCATGTGCGTAGGAATTTTTTTGAAATTACTACGTT